CAAAAAATACTTGGAAACACTGCCGAAGTGTCTACATAAGAGTTCTTTCCTTTCTTTTAAAGTGAATTAAAAAAAAAAAACCCCAAAAACAAACAAACAAACAAACCAAAAAAAAAAAAAAAAAAAAAAACCACACAGTAATTATCTTTTACATTTAATAAAATCTTATGATTTTAGAGACTGACTCATGATATTTTAATGCCAGGAGTTGGCAATACTGCTAGATGAAGAGCTAAATCACTTCAAGATCTGCCCTGATCATCAGCTTTATTCACAATGAACAGTGAGAAGACAATATACATATAACCAAAAAGTGAAGCTCATGCAAAGGTGTCATTATTGGATGCTCCAAGTAATATATCCTCTCCCTGAAAGAATTTTGACCTGAGAGTGAATATTTTAATAGCCACTCATGTTACCTTCCAGGAGTGAGGCAAAAACAATGTTTAAGCATCTCTTTCAAGATGATACCATGCTACTGGAATGTCTTCTATTACCTTGTACATGAACCTATTACTTGAAAGAGTGATAGCATTTAAATAATGTTGCTCAAATTACATGGCCCATGCCCACCTGCTTTGGATATTGTTTCCCACTTCTAAAAATCCAAAGGAAAGGCAGAAATGTTTTAAACTCAGTACTGGCCCCTGTGCAGGTCTTATCACTTCCACTTCTCCCCCTTTCCCCCGAGCACAAAAATCTTTTATATTTGTGGTTTATGTATGGTCTTGTGGTATTTGCTCTTGCTATTAGACTAGTTCTACCTTTATGTGGTATGCTCATGCCTCTGGGGCAGAGTGCAGTGGAGGAGGATGTTTAAAATTAGGAGCAAAATTATAAATCTTTGATAAATGCTGATAAATCTTTATGTGATGTGTATTTAAAATCACTCAAAATCAAGAAATCATGTTGCCAAATCACAAGCCAGCAGTGCTGTTCCATGACACCAAAGCCCTGTTGGAAGAAAATACGCTGGATTTGGACTTTCTGTCAAAACATTCCTTGTTTCTAGATCTCACAGCCTTGTGAACAGCACATAGAATAACCATTTTAATTATAAGATAAAATAAATATCACTAGATGCTATTGATACATTTTCAGCTGTTTTGTCGACACAGGGCATGTATTATGAGACACAGAGATGTTGGGATATGTAGGACATTACCTGTGTTGTATGAAGAATGGGCTTCCTGCTGTGGAAGCTGTATTGTGCCTTAGAGGCATGTAGAGTGCCCTCAGCTAATAAACTGAAGAATAATTCTTCTAAATAACCTCTAGGTAGCGTAAATGGGTGAAAAGGCTGTAAATACAAATATATTTCAATTTATAGAAATAAAAAATTAAATGGTTTAGAAGCTGGGTCACTAGTTAATCAGAAATGCCATGGAAACAGCATCAGCTTTAGTAGCAACGATGAGATCATAGACAAGGGCTTTAAAAACAACACTGAATGATTCTGTGAATTTCTTGCCTGCTGCACTTAATATTTTTAATCTGAAATTACTAATAAAAATATCTGTTGCTCTGACAGATTTCAGGTATAGGTTCCCAAAATGAGGGGTAAAGCAAATGTCCTACTATAAGGCGCAAAGGCAGAGCTGTGCCATATTTTTTCATAGGTGTTTAGAGCCAAGAGGGACCATTACAGCCATGTAGTTTGACCTTCTGCGTAACACAGACCACAGAATTTAACTCAGTGATTGCTGCCCTTGGGCTAGATTTCAAAAGTGGAGAGAGATTTATTCCTTTCTTTTTTTCTTTTGATCCCTTAGTGTGTTCAACTGCCTGAATCTGGCACTCTGTGAAAATTAAAGAGACTGCAGTTTTAATTTATGTTTTGTTTTCAGAATATGCATATATATAAAAAAAATACATAGGTGTGTGAGCAGACACGCATTTAAGATGGTTTGCATTTGTGATAACAGTTGGCACCACCGTAGAGATGACCTCAGATTTAAAAGGATACGTAGACTCATAGGAAAATAGGGAGAGGGAAAGGATGGCTGAAGGTAGCATGACCTTCACATGCTACTCATCATGGGCCTCTCTGGTGAAGTGTTTATACCTCATATTAAGTCAGCACAGGGAGGGATTAGAGGCCTGCAGAGAGAAACAGCTTGCCTCACCCTGAAGAAATTGCCAAAAATGTAATGTAGGACAGAGACTTCTCAGTTGGGGCTCATTTTACAAAGTCAGAAACAGGCCAGGCACTCAGCCATTTGCAGGGAAGTTGAGAACTCCTTCCCTGTGCCTACTGTGGGAAAAGGCTGGGCAGAAACATGCATGCTGAGGAGCAAGTGTGGAGCCCATTGCATCTGTGCTGGATTGAAGCTGTGAGGCTTTTGTCTTTTGCTTCAAAAAGTTTTTAGTGAAAGTTCCATTGAGATTATTTTATTTTACCTTATGTGGGCTAAAATAATTTTTTTAAAAGCCTATAATCACTTTAATGAGTATGGTAAACATGATGGGATACTGTGCAGACCTTCTACCGTTTTGTGTTTACTGTCAGTGAAGACCCTTGGCCACCCTCAGAGAAACAGTTTCTGTTAAGTGTCCATTAAGTGCTCTAGTCTGATTAATGAAGCAGACTTATTTGTTGTCACTGAAAGTTGACCTGGAAGCTTATTTTAAAGGAAAAATGCAATGAAAAGTTATCACACTTTGGATAGGTAAATACTTAAGAAGCAAGATTATATAAAAATAAACTTTTGTTAGGATAGCTACCCTCTCTTTCACAATTCCCATAATAACCAAAACCAGTCTGAATGACCTCCCGGTGGGCCTTTTTATTGATACTTCCCAGCAGGAGTTTCAGTCTGATAAGTAGGTCAGGATTCAGTTGGTCTGATTCCCATTTGAATGCATGACAGAACAGGAGGATTTCAGCTTTACTGTCAAAAAGGTTCTTCTCTTTTATGTTCAGGTTATCTAATATCTAGAGGGCAGGTGCAGGGGTAAAGAAAAAAATCACAGTGGGGAGAGGATAGTAAGGAAAAGAAAGTATTAAAATTTAATCCTCTGAGTGATAGCATGACTAATGACTCCATATTCTCTACTCTGCCATTTCCCATCTACAACATAGTTGTCCTGCTGCAGATAGTACTTAATGTCCTAAAATATTTTGTAGCCACTTTTAATTTATGAAGTGATCTCCCACTTATCATCATAGTGCTATCTTTTTGGAGTGGAAGAGAGGGTGTGTTGATACATTCTGCCCTCCTCCACAAAAATGCAAAAGGTCCAGGGGGCAAAACTGAACTTGCTCTGACAATTCCTGCTTCTCCCTTTTCTCCACGCGCTGTGTCCTGGGAAGGGAGTTCATGCAAATTTCCCAGTGCCCCTCTGGCACTGGGAAAGGAAATTTAATCTAATTTACTAATTCACCCATAGGCTTATGATGAATAGAAAATGAAGAGGTGTGTCATCTTGTCCAGTGAAGTTGGGGGTGATGAGCTGAAACCAACAAATATATTACAAAAAAGATAGCAAGCTGGACTAAAACCAAGTTCTCATTGGCGAATTATTAGTCCACTGTTCATTATGATGTCTAGTTTCAATCCTAATGAGGTGGAACTTGATGAGATAATTGCTTTGAACTATAGGATTCTGTTTGCCCACAACAAAAGCTTATAGAATGGTATCATCTCATCAAGCCCTTCCCTTTTTCTCAAAAGTTATTAGTTTTCTTTTAAACGGGGTGTTTGTCTTTTCTCATTTAATGAAAATGGCACAGTGACTGGAGGTAGCTAGTATCTATCAGGTTTTATCTAAAGGTAACCACAGCCTGCAGATAGTTCCTACTCAGTCTGTTAGATAATAATCTCAAAAAATGGATGTCAAGGCTCTTTTTTACTGACAAATCTGATACAAAGTTGGTGCTGTGAGTACCGTCTGGTACCAAAAACATGAAATGAACTAATATTACTGGAACGTTTTTTTTGCGTCACAAGTTACACAGAGCATGGATCTATATTATGTAATTTCCACAAGGTGGATTGCAGTATAGGGAGGTTGCAGGTTCATCTAACTGTGACTCACAACATCATTGGAGTGTAGCAAAGACACCTCAGGTCTCTCTTGCATCTCACCTTTGCTAACCATTTGTTTCAGCCTAGAGTATAGGAACATTTGTGAGTATATGAATGAAAGAGATCCTGCATGTTATTGCTTTCACCCATGGTGTTAGGATATGTATAATATTTCACCAAGCAGTTACTCAGAGTTCTCGGGGTTTTTTAATCCTTTTTCCAAAAAAGGATGTGATGCGATGGTTGAGCCTTCTCACTTTGTTCAGGAATGTAGAATTGCTGGATTTACCGTCATTCAGTAAGGAAAGGGTATGAAGGAAACTGTCTCAGACTGAAAATAACAGAAGGATTTTAATGTGGGTTCCAGTTTGAAGGATGCAGCAATATGTGATAGAGCACAGGACAAGCAGTTTGGTACCTGCTTATCTTTTTCTCCACAAACATCACAGACTTTGGATGAGGTACTAATTTTTCTCTGATGAAAGCTTCTGAGATATAAAATCAGATTGAAACAATACAAATATCGTGCGGATGTCATATATCTATTCATCTGAGGAGAGTCTAAGATTGAAGGAGCTCTAGAAGGGCTGTGTTTATAACAATCAAGAGAGATTCTTCGAGGGAATGGGAGGGTGTTTTGCAATGATGTAGAACCAAGCAAAAATAAGGAAAAGAAGCAAAATGGATTGGTAGTTAGGATGGAAATAAAATTTAGCAAATTAAGAAAGGAATAATCAAAAAATAAAATACAGTCTTATGTCCTTTAAAATGTGGGGAAAATAATGAAGGCACGCAGTTCTTCCACTCATTCCTATCTCACACTAGTAATGGTGTTAGTATAGAACAGTGGCTTCTTTGTATTTGAAGTCCTTGCATTTCTCCAGAGAGACACAGGCAGGGCATGGACTAGCTCCATAATGAGACCATAGGAACTACCATGCTGGGTCAGACTAACTTGCTTCTTGTCTCCACATCCCTTATTGGCCTTTTAGCCAAAATCAAGTGTAGCATCCATTCTTGTCAATTTTATGTCAGACACATCTTCAGTTTCAGGACTTGATGTTAAATGGGTGTGGGGACGTAATGCAGTGCCCCTGGGAACAGGACTGGGCAATAAGAGGACTCAGCACTAGCAAATAGAGAGACAAAGGTGTATAAGCAAGGCACGTATGCAACAATATTTCACAATGCTTTCCCGGCCTCCAGTGACTTGTGGTTTGAGGACTTTCTGAGCCAAAGCGAGTCTTTGTGTAAACTCTTTTCCATTAATTTTCTAGATTTTTCTGAGCCAGGTGAATTTTAACATTCTGCAGCACAGAAGGTGCAGGTACCCTCTCGACACCCTGTGTCTTCAAGAAGCATCCCTTTCTCTTGGCTTTGAAACCCCTACCTGCTTTTTCCATTGATGCTCTAATTCTCCTTTTGAAAGACACAGAATAACCCTCTTCCATTCACCTTCTTTGTGGGCCACTTACAATTTTAAAGATGTGTCATGTCTCTTTAAAAAGTTGTAAATTATGGTTACAATATGAATACAGTTAATTTAGTTTAATGGCAGGCTGTGTAAGAAAAAAGCTAGCAGGAAGTTAAAACAATGATACATCCTTCAACAGACATTTCAGTGTGATTAAGAGACAATACAGGAGCTATTAACTGTCAGGCTGCAGTGAAGTTAAACAGCTTGTTTTGTTTTTACTGGAAAGCAGAAGGACTATAAAGAATTTAAAATGTCTTTCAGATCAGGGCAAAGGAGTTGCTAAGAAGCTATTTCCTCATGTGAAAACCTTACTGAAAGGTCTGAGGAGCTTGAACCTCCTAAACTCCTTTCATAGGGAATAGGTAGGAGAGTTGTGTAGAGAGACCATTTATAGCTCTAAAACTCTTTTTCTTTGAAGTTTTTGTCCTGTTCTTACAATTCAGACAGACAATGCTGTGGTACTTGCTCTTTGTTAGAGGAACAGAGGGAAGAAAGAAGTACTGAACCCTGTCAGACCCACATGGGTAAGCCCCGTTGACATCTAGGCCATTGTAACCCATGCCAGAGCCCAAGCAGAGAACTTGGAAGTTCCCAGGAGAACTGGTGAAGATTCAGGATTTGTCAGCTGAGGAGATGCAATGAAGACACTATGGAGGGCACGGGTGTTTGGGAAGCCCTCCAGGCGTTGTTTTCGTTTTCATATACTTTTAATGGTTTGGGGTTTTTGCCTCCAGATAGATATAGTTTAGGGAACTTGCAGAAGCATGCAGCATCTTTCAGAAACCCCAACCTACATTTCTTTAGAGTTTAATACCTTTGTTGGCATTGTCATTTTTTTATTAAATTATATTCTGGGAGGTTTTTTACATGTCTGCATGCTCTGACACTGGTTGTGCAGAAGAAACTTCCATTTCTGTAATCCTGACTTTTTGTGTATAAATACTATTTTTTGTTTTAGCCAGAGGTGTTAAAGCAAGATGTGGCTGAGTAGCTGCAGGTACTTTTCAACACTAGTGTCTCCTAACTAATCTTCAGGCTTGTGTTAGTATCAAATTTGCCGACGTTTAACCATGAGTCCCAAAGGCTGCATTTCTGGCTGTAGAAATGTCCTGTATCTATTAGAGCACAAGATTGTGAGCAGGAAATCCAAGCTCCACTTCCAGAGTTTCTCACTGTCTTGCTTAGTGTTCTTTTGCTGAGGATATCAGGTGGTTTTAGACTCCATGGAACAAGTACATTAGTTTCTTAAAACAGCATGGCCCAGCATGCTATTTGGAAACTCAGTAAGATTCATCAGTGAAAGAAAATTCTGAATGACACCTTCAGTGGTAAAGTTGGTGTTTAAAAATTTTTCAATAGACTATACCAAATGTTGCTATAGTTCTCATTTTATCTAGATTGTTCCCCAACCAAAGTAACTCAGCTAAATCTATGAACTATTTCTTCACGTGCAGCAAAATATTACTGCTGTAGAGAAGTCATTATCATCATCTGTGGAGGAGGTGATGCCCAGCTTTTGCTGTTCTCTGAAATGCTGTACCAATGCTTTTTGTTCCCCCTTCCCCTGCCTCTGATTTGAGCCCTGTGAAGAATTACTGAGGGAGTCATTGAAACATCTGCCTATGGAAATTCAAGCCTGGAGTCCTCAATCTTAATTTCTTTAGTTACTGCAACCAGCAGTGGCTGAATGTACCCACAGCATCCATAGATGGCAGCAGCCACAGATTACCATGTGGGGTGGCTGGCCCAGGGACTCTTGCATGTTCATGAAGAGGTGTCCCTCACCCTCTTCTGTTACATAACTTCACCCCCTCAAAAATGGATCCCAGCCACTGTATTTGCCTGCATGAATAAGGGGACCTTAACCTCATACTGTCATCAACCTCTCCCATGCTTGCAAACTATCACAGTCACATCCCTTCACTAACATTTTTTTGTACAAAAACACAGATTAAGCCCATGTTTGGTTTATGTCAAAATATACTTGCAGATGCTTGATAAAAGTCTGTAGCCATGATACTGTTCTCTCTCTTTTGTAACTGTTTATATGTCAGATGCCTCTGTGTGAGTATTGCAAAACGTTTGAATTGTAGATTATGGGGATTGTTAGCCACTGCTTCTGGCAGTAATTGAGGAAGGCAAGCTCGGGAGCCTTGGCTGAGCACTTGTCACTAAACCTGCACTTCCTTCCTCACCTGGCTTCCTGCTCCACTCCCAAAAGCTCTTCTGATCTGGGCAACCAGTTACTGATGCAAATGTCTGCCTTTTACTCTTGGTAGAATCTCCAAGCTGTGGTATGCTGGCTGCTTATGGCACACAAGTGTGTTCACCTGGCTGGAGAAGAGATTGATTCTCCCTTCCCAGTGGTGGTCCCTGCTGCTGCAAGAGCTGTCAGAGGGAAAAAATGCGTGGGTCTGTGACTTTTAGTCTCTTATGGGCAGAGCCATCTCTTGTAAAGCCTTGCTTTGGCTGTTTTTCAACTGGGAGAGGTTAGCAAACAGTCTGGCAGCAGCTTCCACGAGTCTTTCATATCCGACAGACTGGGCCAGGTGGACCGTTTCACTCAGGAGTTCATGTGTTTTGCCAGCCAACTTCTTTTCTATGCTTAATGACTTTTTCAGTGCATTCTGGGCAGCTCCAGTTAATCTCATCCTTTCATCCTCCTGTGATCTCACTCAGTTTCCTGGGGAATGAAGTGTGAAGGTGCAGTTGGCCTCTTCTGTATGCCAAACCCTCAGGCTGCCAGTGCCGGAAAGAGGAGCACACATTAGTGCTACAGTTTATGCTTAATTCTTGAGTGGCTCTGTGACTGGAGAAGTACCTGTCCTTGCAGAGATCAGTCAGCCTCTGGAGAAATCCTGATAGCAGTGATACTTCAATGCAGACCTTAAATTTGAAACTCTGACCTATATATACTAACACTCATCCAGTTACATGCTGAGTTTATGCGGGAATTTTTTTAGAAAATATTGTGGAAAACCATGCAAATATTCCTAGAGAATAAATGGGCAATTACTATATTTCTCATGTAAATAGGATATAGAAGATACAGATGGCTGGTTTAGCATCCACGGCTGTATTGCAATATGCAGATAGCCGCTTCATGTACATATGTGTAACAGTAACTGAATATTAAAATTGAGAAGTCATGTAGCACTCTGTATGTTTTCCCTCATTTTAAAAAATCTGGCCTGCTTTATTTAATCAATGTATTACTATTCTTTTTGGAACATCTGTACAATATTTACTGAATTCATAAGTCAAAATATGAATTCAGCTTTCACAAATTGAAGCACACTTACCATTTCTGTGGTCTCATCTTGTTTGCATTTAATAGAAGATTCACAAGTTGAATAATAGATTTGGAGAGAAAAAAAGCATTTCACAAAAGAAGTTCGTAAAGATGTCTAACACAGAGAGAATACATCAGATGGAAAAGTCCTCACTATGCTGGAATAATTACAAATTCCTTTTAGTAAAATTTATTAATGGGATTTTTCAGATGTGGCTTAGGATACTCACGGAGCATTTAATAAGCTGAAGTCTATAAGCCCTCCATCTAGGGACTGGAGCCATTATTTGGACCATCTTTAAAAGTTCTGCCATTTAGTCAATAGTCTAGAATGGGCTTTATGAGCTGTAGGAGTTCATTACACAAATACCTATTTAAGATTAGTATGGACCACAATTAAAAACATTGCTGGAGAAAATGTTTTAGTTTATACATGCCCAGTAGGCAGGCTCCAAAGTGAAGTATCTTCACTGCTACAAATTATTTTAGGACCAAACTAACTTCAGAAAATTACATTTTCACTATGGATGCCTGTGTTGCCTTACTTTCCCTCTCTTATTTTATTTCCAAGCCTGACAGCTAAGGATTACCGTGGAATGGGGACAGATAATGAGACATGCTTTCACTACTACATGTCATTGTTAGGGCATATTCTTATGAGACATTTTTTTGCCAGTGTCTTCAACAGGCTTATATCTTCAAATGTACCTAAGCGTATAAACTTAAAATGGCAAAATTTCGTGAGAGGTTTTTAAAGAGTAACTTGTCAAGCTTGGGGTGTCAGTAAATTATCTCCTCATTGAAAACTTAGGAAAATGAACTTGTAGCAAGGGTTAACTCTGCAGATGCCAGCAAAGACCTTAACAAATACTTGCCTTCATTCTTCCTTTTGTCCACAATTGCAGCATAGCATTTGCCTGGAGTATGATCTGATCAAAAGAGGAGTACAAAGGAGTGCTGCCCCCTTCCACTGTTTTTTATCGAAGCTGAGTCTACTGAGTCTCCTCTGACATTGACCATAAAAGACTTAAGGCTTTCCCTGCCTTGCATTTGCCATCAGTGGGGGAGGCATTTTCTTTACATGTGAGGTGCAAATAAAGGCTGTAAGAGTCGCTTCAGGACACTAATATATAAAATGTTCACCCCACAGAGTTGTTATTCTAGTGTTAAGTTGCAAATGAAATGGAAAATCTTCTACGATAACAAGACGTAATAGCGAAGCAATTGGATTGGGGGCTTTGTGCCCTGTTTTTGTAAAATGGAAAATATTTTCTTCTCTTTCGTGGCAGTGGTATGAATTTTATTGTGTAGATATT